TTGGCTCCCTGTTGTGAAGTCTGTGCCTTCAGGATGCAACAGGGTTCACCTGTGGAGATGCATGAAGTTTGAATACTGAAGGGATGGGAGAGCTCTGAACTTCCACAGGTGGAACTGGGTGCTCCCCTGAGCCCGACTGTGTTAGCTTGGGACCAGCAGCAGGCAGAGATGTCTTGGGGAGACAGTAGGATTTGGGCCTTAGATACCTGAAAGTCCCTAAAGTGTCATTTAATTGGCAGAGTAGGATTTGGCTGCAGGTTCAAAGGTGAGGAGAAACCACTATGGTCATGCATCCCTAATGTGCACACACATGCACAGAATCTGGACTGGATTATGTCCTTCAGAAGTCCCACCTTAGTTTTGGAGCAATAACAAATCCTCTATTTGCTCTATCAGTGTTGAGACTCCGGTGAGGTCCCAGAAGACTGGAGAAGGTCAGATATAGTGCTTTTCTGTAAGAAAGGGAAGAAGGAGCATGTGGGGAACTGTCTACCAGCCACCCTGACCTCTACACCTGGGAAGATCATGGAGGAGGTCCTCAAGTAATCCATCATGAAGCACCTAGAGGAGGACAAGGTGATCAGGAACAGCCAGCATGGGTTCACCAAGAGCAAGTTGTGCCTCACCGAGCTGATTTCCTGTTATGATAAGGTGAAAGGCTCATGACTTATGTTGACTTTAGCAAGGCTACAGTCTCCCGTGACATTTTCATTAATAAGCTAAGGAAGAGATGACAGCCCTATTAAGGGAGCAGCAGGTGGGGAGGCATAACTGGGGCAGCAGGCCTGGATATTACCTTTCGGGGGGCGTGCAAAAGATTCATGTAACTTCCCTTATCAGTCATCTGTATTTTTTTAACCTGTAACTTTCGGTCTTTGTTGTTTAGTATCCCTATTTTTTATTCATTATATATTGAGTTGACCTTAGCTGCTTCCTTGTAGCCAGGTATGGGTTTGGTCTAGCATAACACTGAAATGCTGGCTTTCTGGTCAGCCATCAGGAACCTGGAACGAGTCTCCATTTTCATCAACGCTATCTACTTTTAAGTTTGTAATCTACATGATCTATGTGAACGATGCTTTAAATTTATGACAATCGGCCCTTTTCGTGTTCTAACGCTACATGTTAGTATTCGGTGTCACACTCTTTTTGCACAAGCTAATTGTAACTAGGATCATGATCATTGGTGTCTAGGCAACCACTGTCTTTTAAGTCAGTGACTAGCTCCTCTCTGTCTGCCAGAATGAGGTCCGATATCGAGCTACCCTGTGTTGAGTGGCTGGCTTAATGTGGTAAGAAAGTACTATCTACTATTTTTAAAGCTTCCAAGTAAGTTTTGTTACTAACGGCAGGAGATACCTAGCAAATGTCCCACAGGCTGAAAGCATCCCTGAAACCATTTTTCTTCCTACATACGGCAGATGACGTGTCGTTTTCTCCAATGAAAGACAAGTTCTCCTGTGACAGAGGTCACTGACACTCCATCTTTGGTTTTAATGGGTAGTGCTGTAGTCCACAGGAATTCAGTGCTATGGCTCTGTGTTGTCTGTAACAGACCACATATGTAACACAAAGTGGCATGTCCCTTCCCATTCTGTCCTTTTGAGTACTGATTTTAATGGGCCAGTCATTGATGCTGGCTATATTGTCTTTCATTGCATACACTATTGCTTCCATCTCCTTGTATTTATCATTCAGACTCCTCAAATGCATGTATAGACAATGAAGAATGTATTCCTTACACACCCCTTTGTACTTGGGTGTGTCAGATGTCTTGAAACTGGTTTACATGACTGGTGTCTGTGCATGACTTCACAATCACTCTCATTGTCAGTTTAAAACCCACCTGATAGTCCTAGACAGCAGGAAGGGCAGGGTGGCACCGCTAACACTGACCAGTTGAGAGAGGTGTGATATTTTGTCAGCAGACAACCAACTTCAGACTATCGCTGCTGACCACGTCTCTGATTATCCTGGCTAATCTATTACACTGAAATTATGCTTATGTGCATGGATTTCAAGGCTGACTCAGAACCTGGGAAAATTATAATTGGGAGGGACCTCACACTTAGTCCAACCCCCTGCTCCAAGCAGGACCAGCCCCAACTACATCATCCCAGCCAAGGCTTTGTCTACCCAGGCCTTCAAAACCTCCGAGGATGGAGACTGCACCACCTCTCTGGGGAGCCTGTTCCAGTGCTTCACCATCCTCCTTATAAGAGAGTTTTTCCTAACATCCAACCTCAACTTCCCTTGCTGCAGCTTGAGCCCATTGCTCCTTGTCCTGTCATCTGCCCCCACTGAGAACAGCCCAGCTCCATCCTCTTTGCTACCCCCGGCAGGTCCCAGCCCACTCTCTCATTTCTTCCTGAATATAAAGCATTCATATAAGCATTGAGCATATAAAGATGTCTGATCATAAGAGAAAAAGGATACCATCAACTCGACATGTATTCGACAACGGATTTAAGAGAAGTGTCAAGTACCCACACCTATCCCTTCCCCCCACCATTCCCCCACTATTTAAAATGATTTTACAATTTCCTTTCCCTATTTTTAAAACCATTATTTCTTTTTCCTCCTGATGTGTTAAAATGTTCACAAGCAATTTTGGGACTTGACTAAGCTTTGATTATATGGGGATATGATGAAGTTAAGCACTAAGTGCAGAGGTTTTGTTGTTTTTTTTTTTAAAGGCTCTTCCCACACTCGCATCTCTTTCACTTCTTCTACTTTTAAGTATTACTTGTAACAGCAGTAGGTAAAGCAATTTTGTGAAAAGTATGCGCTTTTTAAACTGATAGCATTCCTTTAACCTGGAAAAAAAGCCCATTAAGATGCCACAATAGGTGTGTTCCTTTTTTTGGTAGGTAAAATGACTCTAATTATTGACTATCTTTTATCATGCCAGTATGGGAAAAGTACTTTTGATGAATAGTAAGAGTTCCTTATAATGTTGGGTTTCTTCCTTTGTGATTCAACTTCTATTACACAAATCTCCTATAGTAGCAGATTCCTGGATGGATGTTCTGACCTGTTGTAAGGTGTATAGCGCTGTTTATGGGCCGAGTTTGTAGGCTGAAATCCTGTCTCCTCTGAAACCAGAGGTAAAACTAGATCCTTCTGTGGATCCAGAATTTCATCTCTTGGATCAGCCTCAGGGGTTTTAATTAAAATAGTCAGATTTTCACGTGCTCATCTCTACAACTTTGTTGTTTCATCAGTGATGTCTCAAGTTGGTTCGAGAATCTGTTCTGTTCTGTACAGATACTTGTACCATACTCATCACTATGGTGTCTGAGATCTTTCTAGTTGTACATTAAATAGTCTGAGTAATGTCTGTTAGCTGGTTGCTGGGACGTTAATCTAAGGTCCATCTTTGGCAGTGCTATATCTGTTCGTCTTTTTGCCATTTTATCTTCTTGTCTTCACTGCAAATCAAAAAAGAGCACCAAGCCATCCAGTAAAACCCCTGCACGGTTCAATAATAGAGTTAAAGAGGCCATTCGAGGCAAAAAGGCATCCTTCCAAAAATGGCAACAGGGAAAACAGAAAAGCCAATAAACCCATACAACGGTCCACAAAGGTGGAAGGGGGTAGGTTGAAAGAGTTTGTCAGTCTATTGAGTCTTATCACGGGGTCCTCTTCAGGGGGAGTGGAGTGGTCCATCACTGAAGATTCGTCTCGGAGTCCATCAGGTGCAGAGGTATACCGGCGGTCTCCTCTGGGTCTGGTCCGCTGGCGGTCGGTCTGGTGGGTTCGGTGTATTGGCGATGGCTAATGATGTGCTTGATGTAGATGTCATGGGACCCACAGATGGTGTTGGACACCATGAGGTGGCACGCCGGCTTGGTGTAGTGGTGGGAGATGCGGCAGGCAAATAGGGCGCTCTTGTTGCTCCGTGTGTTCCCACGGTGAGCGCATCGACCATCACATTGTTGATGCACTACTAATAATTCTCCAGGGCCAAATGGCATTCACCTGAGAGCTCTGAAGGCACTCAAAGGTGAATTGCAGAAATGCTGGCAGCAAGATGTAACCTATCATTACACATGACCTCTGTGCCAAAGGAGTTGTAGGTTGCCATCACAGCACCCATCTTTAAAATAGGGTTTAAGAGGTGATCCCAGGAGTCTCCACACACCTTTGAGTCTCACTTCTATCCTGAGCAAGTCGGTAGAAATGATAATAAAGAATAAAACCAGCCGTCGCATGGGCAACTATGGGCTGCTGGGGAAGAGTCAACATGGTTTTTGTAAAGGGAAATTCTGCCTCACCAATCTGCCGGAGGTTTTTGAGGGTGTCAGTGTTGACTTGACAATACAAGATCAATGCTCAGAATCTCAATATTGTGCTGCTAGGCTGGAGGGCATGACACAAAATTATATGCAAGGCACACACACACGATGCACATACAAGAATTGCCGATTCATACACACACTCACAGGTGAACACCCACTCAGGATACAGCGCGTTAATGTTTGGAGTTGGGATGGTTGGTGACTAGGAGAGAGAAAGAAATTCTGGGAGCAGATTGGGGAGTGAAGCCAGGAGCGGGGTGAGCAGGGAGCAGATTGGGAGTTGGAGCTGAAAGACGGTGGCAAGATCAAAGAGCAGAGCCGGGATCGAGAAATGAGCAAGGCGCAGAGGTGGGAGCGAGGTGAGTGGGGAGCAGGTTGAGAGCGGGGGGTCAGAGGCGGCAGGACAGCCGAGGTGAGAGGCAGCAGAGATACAGAATGGGGGCCGGAGGTGACAGAGAAAGAGCCAGGATGGGGGTTAGGGGCGGCAGAGAAAGAGAGAGGGGCGAGGAGCAGAGATTGGAGCAGGGCCAGGACCGCAGTAAGACAAAACCCAACTCGGGGTTCCAAATAACAGTTTTATTAGACAGAAAAGCGGGTAACACAATATTCAGATTACAAATGATTGGTTCCTGCATACACACTTACACTTACGCACCCACACAATGGTAGCGGGGGGAAACGGTTTGAAGTCCAGGGGTATAGAAATAGAGCTCGTGTCTCTTGTTTGGAGGGAAGATGCGGATGATGATAGCTACGTATCCCAGGCTGAGTTGATCCTCAGTGGCCCGTCGGGGTCTTCTCCAGCAAGGTCTTGTCCAGAAGGGGGTCTCTGGGATGATAGGTGGTATGGCGTAGTGCCGGTGTGGATGGAGAAGGCATCCCAAAGAGGTCACAGTCTAACACCACTTTTATGGAGGTGAGCTACCTGTGACTCCAATGGGGAGGACACGCCCAGGTAAGGGCCAGTCCTGCTTGGATGAAGATGTGCAGTTCCAGGTGTCCTCATTGTCCAGTGTAGTACAATGGTGGAGTTGCTGGTTTCTGTTCTGTCCTTTGTTTCCATGTTGCTGGTTTCTTGGAGGGTCTTTACCTTTCAAATGTTGGGTTTTGTCTCTGGTTCTGGGAGTGGGTCTGTTGTTTCAGGGAGAGTCAATGCAAGGGGGTGGTAGGATCGTTAAGCTGATGGTCCGGTCATTCAGTAGGAGCTATTATTAGGCCTACTACCATTATGTCTCAACCACTCTCATTCTCCCTCATTCATCCAGGCAACCGATTTACACAAGAGGGGTAGATGTGAGTCACAGTTACAACATGACTACAATAGTGTCTGCCTAGGCATAGGACACAAGATGGAGACTTGACAATACAAGATGGAGACTTGACATTACTTTGGCTAACTTACAAAAACCGGCCTGAATCATATAAAATCAATATAAGCAAATAAAAATCAATAGTAATAATAGTAATCGCACAATATAAAACAGAAAAATCAATACCAAAATAACAGAACACTATTTACAATGATACATGGACAATATAAAAGGGGCTTGTTACAATAGTGGAATACAAGAGCTTATCCTATGTCTTATCTTCACTATGTGTTATCATAAGTACTTATAAGGAATAGAGAGGCAAAGAGAAAGTCAGAAATGGTTGGGGGAGGGAGGAGAATGTGTTTCTATGTACAAAAATCCAAGAAAAAGTGGGGGTTTTGCTACATCAGCTAAACACATGTGCAAGGGGGACCCAGTTGATGTAATATAATTGGACTTTACAAAAGCATTCAACAAGGTCCCTTACCAAAGATGTAAAAAAACAACCTTCATTCCCATGGGATTTCAGGGAAGGTTCTTTTGTAGACTGAGAGCTGGTTAAAAGATAGAAAGCAAAGGGTAGGGGGAAATGGTCATTTTTTTAGGATGGCGGAAAGTCAAAAGTGGGGTCCTGCAAGGATCTGTTCTGGGCCCTATTTTGTTTGAAATTCTCATCTGTGACCTAGAAATGGGGGCGCACAGTGAAATATGTAAGTGCAGAGGACACCAAATGATTTGGGTAGTTAGATTCCCAGGTGATTGGAAAGCAACTGAAGATATCACCAGACTAATTGAGTGGGCAAAAAATGGCAGATGAACTTCGGTGTTGATAAGAACAAGGTAATGCACCGGGGGGGGAAGCCCCTCAACTATACATACAAAATGCTGGGTTCTGAATTAGCTGTTACAACTCGAGAAAGAGACTTTAGAGTCGCTGTATATGCTTCTTTAAAAATGTCAGCTGAACGTGCAGCAGTGACCGAAGCAGCCAATAAAATATTGAGTAACATAAAGAACGGAATTGAAAACAAGACGGAGAACTTCATTATGCCATTATACAAATCCACGTTGTGCCCACTTCTTGAATGCTGTGTGCAGTTCTGGTCCCCACATCTCCAAAGGGATGTAAAATAATTCAAAAAGGTAGGGGGCAACCAAACTGATCAAGGGCCTGGGGCAGTTGCCATACCAGAAGAGACTGAAAAAGCTAGGACTCTTCAGTCTGGAAAGGAGAAGGCAGAGGGGGAATATGATAGATATCAATAAAATCGTTAAGGGTATGGATGAAGTGAACAAGAAACTGTTGTTCACCAAGTCCCAGAATACTAGAACCAGGGGGCACCCACTGAAATTAGTACGCAAGAAGTTTAAAACCAATACTTTTTTTCACACAACATGTAGTTAACTTATGGAATTCATTGCCACAGGAGGTAGTAGAGGCAGAAAACATAGCCAGGTTAAAAAATGGATTGGATAAATTCCTGCATAATATACTCATGGGCACTGAACAGAACAGTTGGAGATGTTTCCTCCAGCATCTCTAATGCAATAAATGGTGGATGCCAGGGAAGAGTATTGAGTAGAGGTAGAGATACCCAGTTCAGCACCCTCCCTGTATTGCTTCCATTTCTACCACTGTAGGATATGGGCTACTGGGCGAGATGGACCATTGGTTTGACCCCGTCTGGCACTTCTTATGCTCTTATGTCTTGAAGCCCAAATTCACTCTTGAAAATGTGGCTCCAAGGGCTATCGTGAGCATTCATTGTGATTCTGCAAAGTAGGTCCCTGTCAGAGCCCATCATGATGCCTTGTGCATTCAACTCAGCTTTTACTCGCTCTGGGGGTATTTATTGGGTGTTTTGTCCAGTTTAATTCAAGCTGAATCTCAGAACCATCCCAAGGGTTCAGGCTAACGAAGAAATGGAAGGACATCCAATTTCAAAGAATATCAGAAACATGCATCTGAAAGATCAGTCAAGAATCTCTTTAAAATAGACTATTCACAATTTTTGATGTGTCAAGCGCTGTGCGTGATTGTGACTGTCCAGTATTTGGGGCTTCTACCGATGTACTTTATACTTCCAAGAAAAAACTTGTCCTTTGTCTGCCTCGTTTCATTTGATTCTTAATCAGAAGACTGATTTTTCCAATCTAGTATAACTTCTGGCAAATAATTTTTAGAATGATGTAAATTCATTTTTTTTTATCATTTCACAAAGACGTCTTAAGTTCTCTGTACCCATCTGGTATTTTTCTGAAAATGTAGTAGTTCAATATTCACCTTGTGTCAGTATTGTGTATGTATTGTCTCCTGACTGCATTGTTATGGGTCACATGTCATCAGCTACTGGCATTGGATTGTAGGGAAGTCACCTACGTATCGCTTTCAGATAGTTCATCTACTTTACAATTAGCCATGACATTTTCCTGAACTCTTTAGATACTTCATGTAGTTTGGCCCCTGGATCACTCACTGCTTGCACTCTTATCTGTCAGGATGTGCTCAGATAGATTGCTTTAATGAACAATTCTTCGGTAGTTATCCTTTTGAAATCTGCCTCTCTCCAAGGCTGAGTCTAAGGTCTGGTTCCTTTTGCTCTTTATCGTCTTCTCTTGAGTAGTGTTATTGAGAGCCTTAGATTGAATTTTCATCTCCCTGCTGCTGATTCACAGATTTCCAGCTCGAACAAAGATGGTATCTCAGTGATTTCTTTCTTTGAAAATTGTTTCCCAGCCATGCAAAAGTAGTAGAGTGTGTTTCTCCCTATAGTTCAGTGCCACTAAGACCAGACAGCTGATTTTCAAAGTTATCCAGCAATTAAAAAAGACGTGTACAATTTATGAATACTCCATGTTTCTGAAAAAAAGCAACCAGCATTGTGTGGTTCGAATATCAGCCACCATGCCTGTGGGTTGGTGATGAATGGTAACCCAGGGAAATTGCTGTTTAACGTGATTTCAAGATGCAGTTGTGTTGTTTTTGTGTTCTCATCAGCGGAATCGCTTCAATGGCTGGGTGTTATCACACTGGTTCATGGTGCACGGCATCTCATTGCCCAACCATACCAGTGCTTACTTAAGGTCACACTATTTCAAGGTTTCATGATCTGCCCTTTGTCGGTATAAAATATATTCGTATACTTACTGCTGTTACACGTGGCATCAGATACCAACTTCCGAATCTAGGAGCCACTGTCTGTTGTTATTGCTTAGTGTGCAGATTCCCTCTGCCCCATCGGAGCATTTGTAAAGATTGCAGCTTTCAATTAAGTACTGTGTTGTTTGCTGGACACTGTTTTCACACCAGGGGCTGTCCAAGAGGTTCTTATGAAGTGTTGGTTTGAAACGTCCATATCCAGATCTTAGTCTGTTCAGCTTGACCCACACTGGTCTATCAAAGTCACACAGCATTTGGTGTTACTACAAAATGCTGTAGGAATAGATCTGACCTTTCCCAGTGGTCCGCCCACTCCGTTGCTGCCCATAGGTTTGGTTCAGTATCCCCAGTCTTGGAGTTATCAGGCTTCACGTACAACTTGTTTATGACTTTTGAGTCTCTTAAACCTCCATCTGTTCGGGTCTTCGGTTAACAGTTTTTCATAGATTCATAGAAGTTAAGGGCTGGAAGGGACCTCATGAGTTCATCAAGTCCAGCCCCCTTCCTCTTAGGCAGGAAAGAAAAGACTGCTGGGGTCAGATGACCCCAGCAAGGTGTGCATCCAGTTGTCTTTTGAAGATCTCCAGGGTAGGTGACTGTACCGCCTCTGGGGGGAGTTGATGGAGTAGATCATTTTCATCATCTCTTCCCTCTATTGCCAGTAATGACGTTAGGGTCCATCTTCTTGGTCTAAGGCCCGAGACTCTAGAGTACATCTGTCTGTGTGTGTGTGTAAGTTGTGTGGCCTGTTATGAGTCTCAGCACACTGTTAAGTACAGTTTCGAGCTTTTCATTGTGACAGCTTTGAGACCAGACAGGAGCACAATATTCTGTTGGGCCGTTTACCATTGCAAGTGCAGCGGTTCTGAACACTTCGCAGTTCGCACCTCGCATTGTGCCGACTAAACTATTTTTATACTCGTGCAGAGCTTTTACTGTTGCCCTGAATGTGATTTGTAGGTGTGGGAATGGTGTAATGTGACTGTAACAGAAAGCCCGGGCTCTCTCTTACTTTAAGATGAAGGCAGTAGGGCTGCGTGAAACAGCTGTGTTTTGATTCGGTTTCGGATTCGGCCATTTCGGAGGATGGTGATTTGTTTCAGTGTTTTGGATCACTGTCCCATTTTGTTTTGGCCAAATCTGTTTCGGAGATTTGGCTTTGCTGAATCTCCTATGAATCTGTTTCAAATGGGCTGCAAACTTCGCATGGCCCTACTGCCCAGCCGGGCAGGGCTTGGGACCGGGAGCTGCAGGGCCCCAGCGGGGAGCAAGACGGGGCCATGGCTGGCTCGTCCAAGGGAGGAGAAGAGCCGCTGACCTTTGTGCAGGCGAAGAGACTCCTGCACAGATCTCTTATCCCTGTCATGCCAGGTCAGAGAGCAAGGAAGCAGTGCAGGGCAGCGAGCAAGCCTGCTGCTCCCTGCCGCACAACTTGGCTCTGCAGGGAGCAGAGATGCACACTGGTGGTCTTCTCACCACCGCTGCCCACCTCGCGCTGTCCTGGCGATGTGGAGCTGTGCAGGGCAGGCAGGAGACCCCGGCACGGATCTCTGCTCCCCGTGCAGCCAAGTCGCATGGCAGGGCAGCAGCGTACAGCTGTTTCCCTGCAAGCCCAGCTCAGAAACTCTGAAATTTTCGAAAACATTTTGGATGCCTTGTTTCATTTCGGAGATGTTTCGAAGCCTTCCATTTTGTTTTAGTGTTTCAGATGCCGAAATATCCCAAAACACCACCAAAATGAAACGGCTGCCAAAATTTCACACAGCCCTAAAAGGCAGCCCAGCCAGGGAGCACTGCAGGGTAGGCAAAGCACAGCAGCATCCAGTTGCCAGGGCAAATGAGGTAGTTAGCAGACACCTACAAGCAGTCGGCTGACTGGAAGGGGGACATGGGTGGCTCGTGGGGCCCTGGGAGCATATAAGCCCAAGCCTGGGGCTGGCAGAGGACTCTCTCCCTGAAAGCTGCCAGGGGAAGGAGCTCCTGCCCAAGAGAGACACCCAGGGATGCTTGACTGTCTGGTTGCTGCCTACAGAAGTAGTGAGGCCCCGGGCGCTGACGAGGTACCCTGGCAGGGAGGTACCCTGGTAGACAGAGGCCAGGGAGAGTGACGGTGATTAGAGTGATGCTAGTGTCTCAAAGCCAGGCCCGGCGTAGTGGGCCTAGGCAAACCAGCCCAGTGAGATCAAAAGAGGTGGAGGTTGGGGAAGCCAAGGCCCCAACAGAAAGAACAATGGTACTGTAACACCTGCAAGGCTTGGGGCATGGTGTCGGGGAGAAAAAGGAGACACACAGTTTGCCCCTAAGGTTACAGTGGCCTAGTCAAGCCAGGAGCGACCCATTAGGGTGGAGGACTGGGATGAGACCCGGAGGAAAATTAGTAGGATTGAGGCTCACTCGAGGCCTGTTGGTGGCCTCCCCTAAACACTCTTTAATCATAAGATGAAGGCATGGCAGGCAAGTGAACTAGCGGGAGAGGCCATAGAATTCGAGCCAGATGGGAGTCACAGTTTCACTGGGAGGTGTCACAGCCGCCTCAGGGGTTGCAACTTGTTACAGTGACTCTAGGTTTGGGTATGTTCATGGGGAAGGATGTAGTGGCCTACTCTGATATTCAGCGTGCTCTTGGCTTGACAATTGTCCAGGTGGAAGAGTGATGATACTGATTTATTGATGCTCAACTTCAAACTCCAATTGGAGTTCATTGCTGACTATCTCCACATGTCAGTAATCGGTGTCTTTTCAAGTTCTCTCGTGTCTATTCCTTGGGATACTATGGCGACATTGTCACCATTCATGTGTTGTTTAGATGTTATATGTAGAAAGTCCAAGGTATATACATTGAAAAATATTGATGCTAGCACTGACCATTGGGGGACTCCACTCTTCAGAGCCAGTACTTTGCTTTTCTTCTCTTCGGCTGGTAGTGAGTTTGAATGATCTGGAGATCACGTTCATGATGAAAATGCATAGCATGCAGTTTATATTTGAGGCCTTGATGCCATACTGTGTGTTTAACTTGCTGCTAATTGCGGCACCAGACCTAGACTCCTGGCGGCCCCAGATAAACTTAGATTTCATAGATTTCATACGGCTGGAAGAGACCTCATGAGCTCATCAGGGCCAGTCCCCCTGCCCATGGGGCAGGAACCCCGCTGTGGTCAGACCACCTCAGCAAGGTGAGCATCCAAGCATTTCTTAAAGGTATCCAGAGTAGGTGCTTGCACCACTTCTGGGAGGAGTCTATTCCATAATCTGGGGACTCAGAAGTTAAAGAAGTTTTTCCATATCGAGCCCCCCTTCACCAGAGAGAATAATAAAAAAATAATAATAATTAAAAAAAATTACCATTTTTAAGCCACCTGGTTCTCCCATGCCTGTGTCTGGCCCTGGCTTATTGTGGCCCAATTACAGCAAAGGGGGATCATCCTTCCAGCTTCTTTATAGCAAGTGGAAGCTCTCCATAAAGCTCAGCTGTGTTGCCCTAGATGGCATCTGTGCTGTAGATGGGGAAGCTGTAACTACAGGACATGTAAGTCCAGCCAAACCTGCTTTAAGGCAGCTGGCTCAGGTAATAATCACAGTGAAGATGCAACGTCCTGAACCCCAGCATGGCCCAGCTGCCCAGTAACTGCCCGGGGCAAGCCTGTGAAATTGCAGCTTCACTGGGATTAAGGCAATGTGGGTTTGACCACGCACACCTCCGGATTTCAGTGAAAACCAGGAGAGGGGAGGTTAGTCGTGATCAGGTGCACATCCCAGGGCTGCTGGGAAATTAACTGCATGAGGCCTCTTCTGCACTGCTTTTAGAGGAGGGTCATGACTTCTCCTTGGGGATCCTGTACGGGGTCGGTATCACGACAGAAAAGTACACATTTATTTTGTTGCTAGACATGAGCGAGGCCCTGTATCCCAAACCTCCCTCTGTTGCTTTTCTTCCATAGGTTCATTTCCCCACCAAAGCGAACATGCTCTCTTTGCTGGGGATTTTCAGTGCTCTTTCCAGCAGCAAACAGTGATTCTGGGTCTGCTAATGAAAACCTGACATCGCAATGATCTCATCCTGTTGCAAAAGGGGACTGTTGAGAAAGCGTAGTATGTGAAGCATGCAAGAGTCTAGCTGTGGCTGGATTTGGAAAAAATTTTTCTGTTTTAAAGTCTTTTGAGGGTAGATTTCCAAGTGCTCACAGAAAAATATGGGGCAGATTTACAAACCTGGTCAATACCCAGCATTAGGGGTGTGCGAAGCGGGCCCTATTCGATTCAGATTCAGCCTGAATCGGGGACAGTGATTCGATTTGCCGATTCAGATCGCTGTCCTGATTCGATTCGGCCAAATCCGAATCTGAAATTCGATGCTGTTTTGGACATAGACACAGCTTTAAAAGTTTTAAAATTAAATTAAAGGGTCCTCTGATTCAGAGATTCAGCCACCGAATCGGGCCAGATCTCCACTGAATTGAGTGTTTGCACCGAAGCATTGCACAGCCCTACCCAGCGTGGCTTTTCGTGACCGTTCTGGCTAGGTATTCAAAAAAGCACATCTCTTTAAAAGAATTGGACCCTAAGTTTTCTTGAAAATCTGCCCCTAACTGTGGGTGTTGATATCTTTGAAAAATACCACCCCAAAGTTAAAATAAAATAACTCCATGGAGAAGAGGGGTGGAGAAATCTGAACTGATTTTCAGAAGGAAATTTTTTTAGTGTATCTGCAAAATCTAGCTATTGTCTGGGGAGCAGATAGGTGCAAGACTACTAATTTTCTCCTCATAAGAATTTGCTTGTTGCACTAGAGATTTTCCATGAGAGTCTGCAAATGTGACCCAGGGAGAAATGTTGTAATTTCTCCCGTCAGAAAGAACTGCCAGCTTTGATCACCCCGCAGTTCATGCTGTGAGCAACACATTTTTGTTGTTTCATTCTCATCTGTTTTTTGGATAGTAGCGATGGCCCCTGCCTTGAAGAACTCAAGCTGTAAGTCAGAAAGCTGGAGACATTTTTTTGAACAGGATTTAAAAATGGATGCGGTGTGGCCCTTTGGGGGTAAGTTCAGGAAGATCAAACTGTGCAAAATGATACGTATTTTTTGTGGGTTTTTTAAAGCCTGCTTTATAGGAAATCTCACCTGATTCACATCAAAACAGCTTCTTAATGGCAGTAAAATTGCAAGGGTTTGCTCTGTGTCGAATTCACTCTCTTTTAGGAAGATGGAGGGAGTGAACCCAGGCAGCGGGATCCAGGAGATCTTGAAAATATGGCAATTTCCCCCCCCCCTTTTCTTTTTTGATCAATGAAAATGCTGTATCCTAGGAATAGCCACCTGGATATTCCCCAAATGTGTTGGAAAATATGATGGCACACCGCTTACATGAAGGGAGTGTGAATACACTGATAAAATCTTTCCAGTGTGGCCGTGGGTGATCACCGTGGAGGCATGAGGTCTGTGACCTGGCTGCTGAGTTGGTGGATCAAGAGGGGCTTCCCTCTCCTCTGTCTGCAGACTCTGGCTTTTCTTTCCTTTTGCTTTTCTTACCATGTTTCATCTCAGATAAAATGTTTTGTTGAACACTAAATAAATGGAGGCTGTGTGGGTTGCCTGGCTCTGAATTTGCTCTCAGTACTTGCCAGCTGCCCACGGGACCAATATGCCTCATCCGGAGGATAACAGCAGGCCTGCCAATGCTCCTTGTCCTTCCATGCCTGCTGATGCTCTGTGTAATCAACGGCACTTTCACATCACCCCCTACCCAGGACTGTGGTTTAAAGAAGCGGCAGCAAAGCAGCATGTACTCTACCGCAGCTAGAAGATGCCACTGCACGGTTAGATGGTGAGAACAAAACTTTAATACATAAGGCATCTATTGCTAGCACATAACTCCTGCCTTTAGAGTGGTGAAATGGTAGCTTTCAAGGCAAGTGCAAGCCAATATCCTTCACACTGAAACATCAATTTGAAAGTGGCTTCTAATGATCACGGGTGTTGTTTGTAGCCGTGTTGGTCCAAGGACCTAGGCAGACAAGGTTCTTTGGGTAAATGTGATGTCTTTTATTAAACCAACTAAATAGTTGGAAAAACCGGTCTTTGCAAGCTTTCGAGCACAAACACCCTTCTTCAGGCCTAGGGAGAGTTGGATGGTGTGTTGTGTTCTCCTGGATGGAAATGAAGCCAACTTGCAAAATGCAGGTTGGTGAAAATGCAAATGCATGGCAGTGAGGATGAGGCCATGCGAGATCAAAGTATTTTGATCCTAATGATCCAGGTGTTTTGGGTTGGATGGATACTGAGCATTCTGCAAAGAGGTGGGAGTGCCTGTCCCCACACTGCTGCACTGCTTCTTCCTTCCTAGGTCACTGGCCAAAAGGGGAGAAAGAAAAGCATGTTTGATTTTCAGTTGCAATAACTTTGCATTTAGCACCTAGACATTTTACAACTGCAGCTCTGGGGATACAGCAGTTCAGTCCCTACTCAGATTCACTCCAGGGGTGTGTTGCAAATAGGGCCACAACAAGACCAGCTAAAGGGCTTGGACACCACAGCTGAAGGATCTGTGGCCACAGGTCAGCTGGAGTGAGATGAGAGGAACCTTGAGTTCCCTCCCAACCCTGTAATTATGTGATATGATCCAGGTCGTTGTCAGAGCATCCTAAGAGGCATTTTTGAACTGAGCCGCCTTTGTCCCTAATGATGAAGAAGGCTGCAACAGAACTAGCACTCGTAGTCTATTAACTGTGTTTAATGGCATCTTCTAGGGTTTTAAAATGCTCTTCTTCCATCAGAACAGCTGCTGTGGTCACTAGCTAGCTAGCCACAGCCTGCAGAGGAGGTGTAGTGCACTTAGTACTGTCATATATGTGGAATATTCGACAGAATATCATAACACAAAGCTGTATTTCACCCCAAATGTCCTGTCCTTCACTAAGGTTTGGTTTTGGTTTTAGTTGTATTCAGAAGGCTGAAGTTAGTGCAGTTCTCTGAAGGGAAGTTGAGAGGCTCTTCAGAGAATCATTCAGGAGCATTTAGATAGATCAGTGTGTCCAAATCCTTTCAGGTTTGTGAAACAGGTTAAACATCGTATTAACATCCTCTCTTCCTGCTATTATAGTTGCTTCCTGCTGATGGCTGAGGAAACAGGGAGAACGGCCTTGCTATATTTCTGGCTGTGGTCCCAGTCCAAATCCATAATTACAGAAGCATGCAAAAGTATAAAATAATACCCAGAAAAGCATGCACAAAAAATTCTCCAAATACCCAGAAAGCCACCAGAGGGACGTGGGATATGTGCTTTGAGAATACCTTCTTCAAAAAAAAAAATTAAATCAGCTTTCTATTCATAATTTAAAGGCTGCTCCTGCATCCATTGATAACGTGACTATGAATCTAAAACTTTGTCAACTATAGAAAGCCTTCGACCATGAAAGGGTGGGAGGTATGTCAGCAATGCAATTAAGCAGCACCACTTTTTCCAGGCTTGCTAGTGCGACAGCAACCAGTGCTGCCCACAGCCTCCTTCACTGCAGAGCTTTTTCATTCTCTTCTTTAACGTTGTCTTTACAACCAGGACCAGAGGCCTGCTCTGTCTTTTAAATGAAATGTTGGCTTGAAGGGGCTCGCTGCGCTCATTCAGCATCTGTACTCACCCCGGCTGGCTGAGACTTTGCCAGGGTGCTTTCAGGACTGTCTTACCCCTTGATAAAGGCCAGTTGTTTCTTACTATACCTTTGGTTTTGGTCTGGTGTGTGTGTGATTAGATTGTATGCCTGCTCCTCTTTAATGGTGATTGGGTGTTGTGATAGTAACACACACATACAGTTACATAGCTACATACAGTATTTACACACCCAGTTGCATTGCAGCTGCCAGTTTGGATCAGGTTAATCTACTCCAGTATCGTGTCTCCAGCAATGGCCAATTTGGGCTGTATCAGACAGGGAACGTACACTGCTACCTGGCTCTTCTGTGTCTTGTTTCATCCACCTGTCCCAAGGTACTGTACGGAGGTGATGCACATGTTCATTAGCTTCATTGCGCAGAGGAGGAAACTGAAGCTTACAGAGGAAAGTGACTTGCCCAAGGTCACACCACGGGACAGTGGCAGAGCTGGGATCACAATCCAGTGAACAGATCGCTTGACCATGCTGCTTTTAGCAGCAATCATGGGTTAATCTGCCATAGGGAAGGCTCTACCTAAACTCCATCAACAAGACAGCAGCTCAGGCCCTGGGGAAGAAGGTTTTATGACTTTATATATGCAAGGCAAGTTTCCATTATATCGTTTACTGGAATATTTCGCCCAAAAACCTCTTGCACCTTTTTTGAGCCATCATGGATACTACACTCCAGCCCTGCTAGAATTGTATATATGTAATATGTATAAATGTCTCCCCAGATGTTAGAAGATGCTGTTTTTAATACGCACTGTCAAAAGCATAGTAATGACTTTCACAAAAGAGAAATTCTGCAGGTGCTTTTCACACCGCTCATAGAAACAAGCTTGTTGACGGGGGGGTTAAGGGGAGGAAGGGTGATAGAAAGAGACTGCTATAAAACAAGCTGTGATCCCTAGCCTAAAATCCAGCATGAACCTCTCTGCAATGTATAGTCATTGAAAAGTCATTTGACTTCTTACCTATGACAGCATCAAACAGTCACTGCTACCTTGAAATGTAAATGTTGCAGGTGAGTAACAGGCTGTCTTCCTCAAATTAAATCCCTCACAGAGGCCTTGTCCCCAAGAGATGCTCTGTGTTTCATTGCTGTAATATAGTCTGAGACCAACAGCAGCTTGCAGTCGCATTCATTTGTTTGTTGTATTAATCGTAGGAGCCATCAACTTCTGTTTATTCTTTGGCTGCTCCTGTGCACGTGCTCTGGAAGACAGAACAAACATTTCCCCTTCTCCAATTCCTCATGTTTGACAATTAAGATAACCTGTGTATGTTATCAAACAAGCCTAAGCATTTAAAAAAAAAATCAAAGATTGATGACATCTTTCATTAACATACTTCTACCTTGTAGGCCATGTTTTAACTAATTACATGGGAAAATGGCTTCCTGGTAACTGTATTTAGAAGACCAGAACCCCACCAGCAATCATTTAGTATTGCTGGACCCAAAGGGGGAAACACAGATAGGACCAAATGATCTTTAAATTATCCCAGAGCATCACAATTTAAACTAGCACTTTTTGATGTTTTTAAAGCAGTTTTTAAAATCTTCCATTTGTGATTGGTGCCATTGGATTACTTCTGTCCTGGCTAAACTGCCCCTTCAAGACCCGCTTCTAGTTGCTTGACTGCGTTAAAATGACACGTGGCGGAGAAAAACAAAACAAAAAAAAGCATATTTCCAATTCATAGAATCATAGCAGTCGGGTCGAAGGGACCTTGTAGAACTTCAAGTCCGACCCCCCGCCTGGGCA